AAGGTCCCGGGTTCGAATCCGGGTAGCGACCAAAAAATTTTCTTCTCTAAAATTGTCTCCTTTCACCTCCTTTCCTCCTCTCTAGCAATGTTCTGTTGTCTGCTTTCATTTCCACTTTCTGCCCCCACCACGTCACCTCCTTTGCCCCCTCCTCTGGGCTCCTGACTCTTTCTGCAGCCTTTCTACTGCTACTCCTTGGCTCCTCCTTACTGCTGTCTTTCTGCCACACCCCTGATCTTCTGGTAAGAAAGATCTACACCTAGCCTTCTCGGACAAGGGCGAAAAATCTTGGAGGGCTCGTGTGCAAGTTGCGCACGTTAAAGATCCCTTGGTGGTCTAAAATCGATAAGAGTAGGCTTCGGCCGCCACCAGGGCAAAATTCAAAATTTCCTACCAACTGAAAATATTAGGTGTGTCCGCGCACTCATATGACCTTATGCAGTTGCGAGCGCCGTAAAACACTTTTCAAAAACAAAACAAAAAACAAAGTATACAAAAATAGAAACACAGGATCCTTTCACTCCAGGGCTCATGAGTCGCAGTTTCACTCATTCATTCAATTCCCGTGTTCTCTCCCGCGGCTCATCCCCGTCCGCATGACTTCCACACCCCATCCCCTCCCTCCGGGCACATACAAAGAAAATCTCACTCATTCCCTTGCACCCTGCGAACCATGGACAATAATATAGGCAAAACACTGCCTTAGCCACATTCCTTTCGTTCGTGAGCTGTGGAACAGGCCAGGGGGGTCGTTGTCGTCGTCATGTAGTTGCTGTCGCCTGTGGATACACTCGTGCATTCTTCCTTTCACCCGCTCTTTCTCTCACACTGTCTCTCCATCCACATGTCAGCTCGTCATACGTTCAAAAGTTGCCCACTGATCATGTTTAGTTAGTGTGTGTATAAGTTTGTGTGTGTACTTGTGCATGATGGTGGTGGGTGTTACTGGAGGCTGTATGTAGGCGGGCTTGCCATGCGGTGTTCCTTCCCAGACCAGAGGCAAAATGAAAGTTGGCGCCGAACTCTCGCAATAAATAGGCAAAAAATCACGAGACCGGAAGCCGGAAACCGTTCGGAGAAATAAAGATCGGCACTATTTCTCCGAACATTCGGAGAAATAGTTACTTCGAAAAAAATGTAACCGCTAAAATTTGCAACAACAACAACAACATTCCGGCGGTGGCATCTCTTCGGGGAGGATTCAGAGAGGTTGGACTGCCTCACCCGCTACTCAAGGGAGGCGGTGGCCCTGGCGAAGAGCACGCTCTTCAGGGCTCCAAACATTTCGAACGGATAGGCTACCACACACTCACCCCCCCCCCCACACACACTAAAAATGACCTGGGAAATGTCGATTTCTTCGATGTCATTATTTTGTCGAATGCCTGATTTCACCACGCTGCCTTACATGGCGCTACCTCGAAGAATTACACAGTTCTATCTGATATTTCTGACTGTTTTGAGTTACTAAGACCATGAGATCCAAAACATAATGTTCTATCTGCTGCTCTGTCAAAACCGTAAATTACACATAGGTGCTATCAAGATATTCAAAGAACTGCATTCGAAAAAGCTTGACACGATGTGAAACTCAAAATCTTTAATGTCAAGCTTCTCAAAACCAGGTACTGAGCAGATAGAACTTTATGATTCTGAGGTAGCAATGTGTTTCCGTCAGTCCGCTAAGACACAGTCAGTCTGGGCTGACCTGACAGACACGGAAGGCCGGAGCTGTCCCCCCTCTAAATAATGGTCTTAATTGCGTTGATGGGAACTTAAAACATTTACATCATCATCATCATCATCATCATCATCATCATCATCATCATCATCATCATCATCATCATCATCATCATCATCATCATCATCATCATCA